AACAGCCAGTTCTTTTTCTGTGCTTAAAACTAGTAAAAAAAAAAAAATGTCAGCTTTAGTTTATAGTATTCAAAATAAACTATGAAGAGACACACATAGAGACAGAAATACCTTGGATTTCTGCCTTCCCTTCCTCTCTTATTTTACAATAGATCACTCATATATTTGTTTTCTTATATGTCAAAACTCAGCATTTTCCTAGTTTATAACCATCAGCTAAAGATACTGAGTGGTACATAGATCTCTAGTAAATGTTTAGTAAGATGAAGACAAAGGGAAAGCAGTGTGTGTGTGTGTGTGTGTGTGTGTGTGTGTGTGTGTGTGTGTGTGTGTGTGTGTGTGTGTGTGTGTGTGTGTGTGTGTGTGTGTGTGTGTGTGTGTGTGTGTGTGTGTGTGTGTGTGTGTGTACGACAGAGAGAATGCAGATAAATGGTGATGATTATGGGCTACCTCTTCCTATATAGCTTATAAAAACTTGTAAAGTTTTACATGACGATATTATCTACTTGTCGTTTTTCATTTAATACAATTGATATGAATTAAACACGTAAAGCACATGTATATTGAATTTGGAATGTCTCCAAACTGGAATGCATACAAGAAAAATTATACAAATTTCTCAGTATCACCTACTGATGATACAATTACAGTATCCATCTTTAACTATAAGGTAATAAATACATAAATGCACTCACCTTTTCCTTTACTTTCTCTATTGTCTGGTCAAGTGGGACTTGAACTAAATTTAGCTTTTATCAGTATATCAAAAATTCAAGTTAAATCATTCAAAGACTAAAACAACCACTGTAAATCAAAAAATATGAAGATTTCCACGTTATTTTATTTTTTTATGCTGGAGCTTGAATTCAGAGCCTGGGCAATGACCCTTAGCTTTTTGCTCAAGGTTGTTATTCTACCACTTGAGCCACAGCTTCACTTCCAGCTTTTTGGTAGTTAATTAAAGATTTGCTTTGAACCATGATCCTCAGATCTCAGCCTTTTGAGTAGCTAGGATTATAGGCATGAGCTACCAGTGCCCAGCTCAGATTTCTACTCTTATTCTTTGACTCCAGAAATGAAATTTATTTTCCTTTTCTTACAACTTCTCAGATTTTAGATGACTCCTGGTTCCTTTCCATGAGACATTGCAAAAGAGTGGGTGAGAATGTACCATTACACAGCATAGAACAAAGATATGAAATAGTAAGGGTTTCAGGTAGATAATTTAAAAATAGAAACAATGACCAGTTTAATCCTTCCCCGTGTAGCAGTGTTCAACAATGTTGGTGATAGAATGTTCTTTCTCTCAGGAGACTTCCTCCTGTTCCTTTATTGAGTTGGCATGTCACTGAAGAAGTCTTCCTCATTTTCTTATCATCTCCTGGCCTATTTCTTTAAAATATTTTCACCTTACCAAAATTAGCCCCCCAAGAAGTTTTGCCCTTACACTATTTTAGTACTTGCTGATTTTCTAACTGATATAAAGTCAACACTTTGTGTGGTTTATATCCAGCTGTTGGAAAGAAAAGATAAATACTATTTAATGAAGACAAAAACAAAAGATTTTTTTTTTTTTTGGTCAATCATGGGGCTTGAACTCTGGGCCTGGGCTTTGGTCTCACGGGCCTTCCTACCTGGGCTGGCTTTGAACACTGATCTTCAGATATCAGCCTCCTGAGTAGCTAGGATTACAGGCCTGTGTCACCACGCCCAGTCAAAAGCAAGATGTTTAAATAAAGTAACAGACTGTGTATGGACATTAAAAATAAATAAAAAGACCTGACATTCAGGGTTGCATTTGGGGAGATAGAAAGGACATGTGCAGGTTGGATGAACAAGTACAAATAAGTTGATAAAGTCGTGTGTGTGTGAATGTGCACACGCACTGGTCCTGTGGCTTGAATTCAGGGCCTGGGCACTGTGTCTGAACATATTTGTTGCAGGCTAGTGCACTACCATTTGAGCCACAGCTTCATTTCTGACTTTTTGGTGTTTAATTGGGGAGGTAAGAATCTCATGGACTTTCCTACCTGAACAGGCTTCGAACTATAATCCTCCTAAGTAGTTAGGATTATAGGCATGAACCACAGGTAACTGGCGATAGTTTTTTTTTTTTTTAAAATAGGAAAGATCAATCGATTTTGCAGCTGGTATTATTCTTATTAAGTACTCAAAGATGGAGATGAAGACACCGCACAGGCCACAAATCTGATTCCCACAAAAGGACATATTATGTGCTCTCGTAATCCTATGAGCAGACACTACGTAATATTGTAAGAGGGGGTATATACTGAGGATGGAATACTGGCTTCACCATATAGCAGTTGTGTAAACTTAGGTATTATTTCAAGTAAGTTGTAAAGAAAAATTTAAAAAAAGAAATTTTATCTTGATCTTTTATAAAAAGTGAATTTGATGACTATCCCTACCACATAGTTGTGGGGTTAAATGAGATAATACATATAAACAATATAGTAAGTGTTCAATAAACATCAAGTACCATGTTGTTATAGGTGAAGAAACAGCTGGAAAGTTCAATGTCATATGATTACTAAGGGGCAAATCTACAAGTTAAATTCTAGATATATTCCCATTAATCAGGTATTTACTGATAAATATCTGCTTTTACTTGACTATGTATTATCCTTTTGAGCTATTAAGGTTTTTCTTTTAGGTTGAAAATGACATTTCAGTTTGACAAATTCAGTGGCATTAACATAATTTCCTACTTTAGGGTCTTTTAGTGGGACTAGAAATGAATGTCAAGCATTGAAAAGAAAATAGAAAGTAATCAGGTGTAGTGGTACATGCCTGTAACTGAGAGGCTTGAGGCAGGTGAGCAGTGATGTCAAAGCTATCTCAAGCTACATAGTAAGAGTTCATCTCAAACAAAAAAAGAAGGGCTGGGAAGGTGGCTCAGTGATAGAGCGCTTACCTTGCATGCATGAGGCACTGGGTTTGATTCCTTAGCACCACATAAGGAGAAAAAGCCGGAAGTGGCGCTGTGGCTCAAGTGGTAGAGTACTAGCCTTGAGCTGAAGAGCTGAGGGACAGCGCCCAGGCCCAGAGTTCAGGCCCAACAACCAACAAAAAAAACAAAAAAAAAAAAAGAAAAAGAAAAGAAAGAAAAGAAAGAATGAACAGAAAGTGCTCTCCATGAAGAATTAGGATGCAGACTGAAATCTAGGGAAAATTAACTTGAACAGACATTAATCTGAATATAGCCTGTTAACTTGTTAAAGAGCAAAAGAATTTAAGTTCTGTGAGGGTAGAAATATTTGTTTCCTGCTATACTATCTCCAGAATGTAAAACAGTGGCTGGTAGTCACACAAACATGTTTAATTAATGTTTAAATTAAAATAATTAAAATTCCTAGTAGCATTTGCTTTCTTTTTCAGTATTAACTAAGTTTAAACTGAAAATTCTAGCATATAGAGTTTTTTTATCAGCAGATTCAGAGTAAGAAATAAAAGACTAAATAAGGCCTTGAATAGCTTTATTGAAATCTGTATAAATAAACATGCACAATTCAAATGTAAACTCAAGTGAACCCAAGTGCAGACAAAATTTTAACCTCTGTCATGCAGGAGGTTAGTTTACATTTAAAAAAAATGAAAAAAGAGAAAAAAAGAAAAAAGAAAACAAAAAACAAAGCAGCTTTTAAAATACCAGGATGAAAAAAACCAGCTTTAATATCAAGGAATAAAGCATAGCCATGATCAAACATACCTCATTTATCCTGGTCAAATGCATTTTTTAAACTTTTAAATGCTAACATAAATAAATAATTTACCAAAATGTGCACTCACAGAGTGAACTTTTATTTACAATACACAATTTTATAATCTATTGTATTTGATTAGTTCAAGTGAAGAACATTATACTTTTTGCTTTAATAACAGTGGGACACAAAGCAATTTCTCAGGTAGTCGATATGTGAAATGTGCCCCAGCATTTAGTTTTCTATTAAAGGCAGTATTGTATGCCAATCAACAATACATTCTTTCAACTAGATCAAAGGGAAAGAAAGCAGCAAATAAAAATGTTTCAAATGTTCACACATATATTTGGCATCCTGGATCCTTGAATGTGGTGAATTAAAATCAAATTCAAGGTTTGTATGCTTTATATACTGTACAGGTTCTGATTCTGGAACATGCAAATGCCATTTCTCTTATAACAAGTTACCTTCTGAGAAAGCTGTAAGGCTATGGTGAATTCCATCAGGAACATACAAAGAAAGTTAACAGACCTACCTTTATAGCCAATTGTTCATTAATGATTTAAAAGCTAGTACATAAAAAAAAAACACACACAACAAAAAAACCCACAAAAAACTCTCACCTAAGCCTGATGCAATTATTACTATGGATACAGAATACTATTAAGTCTGTTCTTATATTACAATAATTAGGAGAGCTAAAAGTTGCCAAAAATAACAACAAAAAAATGGGGTAGAGAACAATAGACAGCAAGAAATTTAATTCTGGACACCAGATTAAAGATAGGCAGTTTAAAATAAAAAAAATTCAAGGTCTAAAGAAGAGATCCTAACAGCACTAAAATATACTTACATGTAACTGAAAAATGAGTTTAGATGGGAGTGTTGAAATCTAGAACCTGTTTCCAAAGTGGCAGTAGATGAAGATAATATTCTGGATTTTTAATGATACAACAAAAGAAGTTACTTTTTCAAGATTGATTCCCATGTTTGTTATTTTTCCAGTAGTCTTATGATTACCAAGGATACATTTGAAAATTTGGTTTTCTAAGGATATTACTGCAGTATTAATGCCATATTAATACTGCAGCTAAATATAATAGTATATACGGCAGCCTAATGCACATCAACTAGTTTACCCAAAAACTAAGTTCAGCCATAGTTATCTTGCAGTATTATTAGAGCAAAATAAATGACCAACATCCACAAATTTAACATCTGTCATCAATTAACTCACATCCAAAGAATTAAAGAAATCATAATTCATCAAAACAGCAGCAAACTTAAAAGGGATTTATTTGTGATTTCCTATATATATTTAGCTTGTAAATACAAGACTGTAAATGTATTAAGAGACAATTTCTGTTAAAGTTTTCATTGTGTTTCACTTCAAGTACTGCACAAGTTAAAATCTGATAAAGGATTTACATTCAGTTATCTGAAACTCCCCATCTCAGACTTTTGTTTTAATGTGGTGGGTAACTTGTTTTCCATAGATACCACCAGCAGGAAAGTCTCTCTTTTATGGCTTCTAGGGCTCTCATTAATTAGTGTGCATACAGTTTTCATTTTCTATATCATTGTCATTATCATTGCTATCTTCATCACTTTCTAAGGGGATGCCTGTGGCAGCTGAAGCACCTTTAGGTTCTCGGTCAAGAGGAAAAAAGCCAGTTCCACTGAAAGTGTCTTGTCTCTGGTAGAAGAGAACGTATGCTGCTTTGGACTGTTGAAACAAAGAAAGGAGGTTAATGATCATGCCTCTCAAAGGTCAAACTGAATACATAAATTCTGAGCTGGTGACCACTTTTGGTTACAAGGAAAAATTAGATAGAAAAATCACACTGAAATTGTCTAAATATAAGGTGATATCTATATGTAAGGGAAAAATGGTCTCTGATAACAAAAATTTTGGCTTTCTATATTATTTGGACTAAGAAATAAATACAAAATAAAACAAAGATTAACCTACTTATTTTGAAATAAAATTTGACATTTTTTTCCTTTTGATTCTTCAGAAAAGGTGAACATTTTTCTGTCTTATAACCAGGTACTTCAATCCAGGTTTGTTTTAGGTCCAACTTTCTTATTGTAGTCAGAGTAATTTTCTGCTCACTCATGTGTATAATCTTAGATGACTGTTGCCCAAGGTCAGCCCAAACAGAAAAGTTCTTGAGACTCCATCTCCAAAATAACCAGCAAAAAGCTAGACTGGAGGCATAGCTCAAGTGGTACAGTGCCAGCTAAGCAAACAAGCCAAGCAAGCTTGAGACCTGGAGTCCAAAACTTGGTATTGAAAAAGAACAAAAGACAAAGAAAAACCAACACTATGCTCTGCCCTCAGTCCACTGATCTCTCAATTTATACCTTTCAGGTGACTTATTCAAACCTATGGCTTCATTTATTATCTAAAACTGACAACTCAAATTTATAAAGTCAGTTCTCACCTCTAAACTATAGTTATATTAATGAAACAATGTAATCACACAGAAACCTTAAATTTCAACAGCAATTATTCCCAATCTTGATGAACAGTGAAGAGTCATCTTCAATTTCTCTCTCTGCATCTTTATCTTTATATATGTAACTTTAAGTTTTTACTAATTCTATCCACTAATTCTATCTATATATAATTCTATTCCATAAGTTCATTCTCCCTTGTTCCTACTATTACTAATTTAATTACTTAAATTGCTTTGGCAGCTTCTGGAATTTCTTTCTGCTATTTTTACTCAGTCCTTTCAAATATATTTCTTTACTCTCAGATGTTAAGATACAATTTTAAAGTCATTTTACTATTTAACAATTATCAAATGACTTATCACAGTCTTTCAGAAAACATCTAGAAAACTAGGATTTCAGTTTTCTTGATCTGAGTACTAAATTTAGCTCTTGCCTAATTTCTTCCCTGTATGCCTACATAATCTTGTCTTTCAGCCATACAAAATTATTTTGTCCCCTTAAAATGTCCTCTACACTGTTATGCTTTTCTTCCTTTCTAAAGTACTGTTTTCTTTGTGTAGCATTCTCTTATTTTTTTTTAAATTTAATTTACTCTTATCAGTATTAACAGACTCAGGTCAAACAGCACCTTCAGACAAGGACTTCCTTTCACTGCTTGTTTCATCCAAGTAGAAATTTGAAGAAAGCAGTATTCATTCTATGTAATCTTTCACAGTATTTTAATTTAATTGTTTTTTGATAGTGCTAAAGTTTGCTCTCAGGGCTTCAAACTTGCTATGTAGGTATTCTACAACTTGAGCCATTCCTCCAGTCCCTTTCTGCATTAGTTATTTTTGAGTTAGAGTCTTGCTTTATACCCTGACTTGCCTGGACTGTGATCTTCCTACTTGTCTTTCCCTCTGTCACTAGGGATGACAGGCATGCATCACTATGTCTGCCCACTGTGTATCTCCATACCCGGAATACCACTGGGTACTGGGCCACTAACCCAGTCATTAGTTGATGAGAGAGTCATGAGAACATTATGCCTGGACTAGCCTGAACTGGAATCCCCCAGAAACCCCTGAACTCTATTTCTTTTTTTTTTTTGGGTCCGGTCGTGGGGCCTGAACTCTGGGCCTGGGCGCTGTCCCTCAGCTCTTCAGCTCAAGGCTAGCGCTCTACCACTTGAGCCACAGCGCCACTTCCGGCTTTTTTCTTATGTGGTGCTGAGGAATCGAACCCAGGGTCTCAGGCATGCAAGGCAAACACTCTACCACTGAGCCACCTTCCCAGCCCCTGAACTCTATTTCTTAAGTGATTAGGATTACAGGTTTGAGCGATCATGCCTGGTTGGTTTTTAACATATTATAATTATTAATTTGTTGTCTTTAGATTGTAAGGCTCTTGAATCAAATATAAAAATTATTCTTTACTCTTATTTAGACTACCTTTATATAAGGTAGTCAAATACATTTGGCTAAATAAAATTATTATTAAAACACATAGTAATATCAAATTCATGTTTATAAGACCAATTATTAGGACAGTGGGCAGTATTGTCAAAAAGACTTTCAAGGGGGGCGGGAGGGGGATGGGAAGGGATGGGAAGGGGAAACAAAGGAGGAGGCTACGATGCTTGATAAGAAATGTACTCATTATCTTGCCCATGTAATTGTCAACCCTCTGTACAGTATTTTCACAATTAAAAAAAAAAGGACTTTCAAAGAGGGAGAACAATTTTAGGATGTTTAAACAAAACAAACAGTGAGACACAAAAGAAAATGATGAATTTAAAATACACTGGAAATGTTAAGAGGCATAGAAAAAATACAGTATTCAAGTATTTGCTTATCTGGTTGTTTATATGGAGATAAGTAACAAAAATGTGTGTATACATAGATACACATACATGCATATGTGCATATGTATTCATGTTCCATATAATGGCTTTTTCATAAATGGCATATGCAATAGTCGCACCAAAAGATTAAAATATAAATGAGGTATGTAGTAGCCTTTATCATCTAGGTTTATACAAGTACATTTTATGATGTTTGTACAATGATCCAAATACTTAAAGCATTTTACAGAATGTACCCCTCTTGTTAAGGGATGGACACACACACACATACCTACCTCTTGGCAGAGGCAGAATAAAAAAAGGAGAAAGAGAAACTTATGGACTGGGAATGTGGCTTAGTGGTAGAGTGCATGCCTAGTATGCAAGAAGTCATGGGTTCAATTACTTAGTACCACATAAACAGAAAAAGCCAGTGACAGTGTGGCAGTGACAGTGTGGCTCAAGTGGTAGAGTGCTAGCCTTGAGTAAAAAGACGCTCAGGGACAGTGTCCAGGCCCTGAGTTCAAACCCCAGGATTAAAAAAAAAAAAAAGGGAGAGAGAAACATATTATTTCTTATCTATTCATGAAACAAGACTAAAGTGATGCCAATAACTGGGCTCAGAGTTTATTTGCTTTAATAAGGTAGACTTTGAAATATCACAAACAATATATCTATATATCTACAGATATATTTATAGTCTGTGCCTTTAAGTAATATATAATTTAATTTGTGGAACAGAACAAATAAGTTAGTATCTCTAGTATTTCTCACTTGTTCTACCATTCTAATAAAATTTATACTTGCAAAAAAATTTATACTTGCAAAATTATGGAAAAATGAATCTTCAAGTAATTTTTGGCTTTCTTCTTAGGATATATTATATCATCATCCTGTATCAGTCAATATCTGAAGTCAAAACTTTACTGTGATGCAAAATGTAACAAATGTTGATTGTAAACTAGAACCAATGTGAATAGATGTAATTTCCTCATTTACTAAGCAGAAAATACAAGGCTAGTTTTTTGTTAAAGATCTACACTTTAAAACTACTTCCTAGAGGAAAACTAATTTCATTATAAACTATATGAAAAACTGCTAGAAAAAATTACAAACTGTAAAAATTCTGAAAATAAATGCACACTAGAGAAAAATCTCTATTTCTTTAAAGCAAATCAGTGTTTCTTAGCTATTAGAATTGTCAAAATGTGGACTACTGTATTCCAGAGGTCCCACTTATTAAATTTTTTGGTGCTAGGGATTGAACTCATCGCTTCCCTTTTGCTATACTTATATTCATGCTTTAAAACTATTAATCTCATGATTTTTCAAAAACTATAAGACACACTTACCACAATTTGGTCTACAGATGCAGTGGAGACACTACTGTCATCAAAATAGTACCATTTTCCATCATCTTTATTTTTTGCAAAAGCAGTATCTAGGGAAAATGACAATCACTCTGTCACTAAAACATCCACTGTTTTTGAGAGACTCCTCAAACCTACAATTATTTGCATAAGGAATATCTATTAAAATTACATGACAACAATTAATGAGGATTAATTATTGTGCATGGGTACATAATAAGAAAAAGTCAAAATATACACAAAAGAAAAAAGAAAGCTCAGTAGACCAATAATCATGACATAAACATAAATAGAACAGATCCTAGGAATGAAAAAATCTATCAAGTAGAGAGTTTAGACCATTAAGTCAAGCTGGATAGTAATCTGACTGCACTTACTCATATGAATCAAGACATCATACTTCTAGGTACAGAGTTCAAAATCTTACAATATAGATCACAAACAATCACATTTATCGGTCTTATGGTGATAGGACAAAAGCAATTTGGGTATCTTACTAGATAAGTAGGGAGAAACAACACAGTATGTGTAAAACCATGAATGGTGAGAAGCAATGGACTCAGACAAATGAATCATGGACAAGTCTGAAGCATCAAGAGAAACCTATAGCATTAATGAAATCTATAGTACTGTTGGTTATGTATGTAAACAGATATATATGTTTAAATGAGCATATGTAAGAAAGAGGAAGAATGAAGAGGTACCCCAACCAAACCAAAAATGCTTCTTCCTATTTCTTCAGCTAAGGGGTAGGACTAACTCCATCCTCTCTATATCTGATAAAATAAGGTTAAAAGCCAACTCATTCATTAATCAACACTGAACAACTATTATTTTAAACATACACCTAAAATGTTATCTTTAAGAAGCAGTAAATATCTTAATGAAAAAGTCAAGGGTTAAACATTATGATTTGAGTATTTAAACATTATGATTTGAGTTAAATGCAAACTTACAATGGCCTCCTCCCATCCCTCCATAGTGGTTAGAAACAGCAATCAAATTATAGCGGCAGGGACCTGCATTTGGATTAATGAGGAATTCTGACATATCCAAATCACTGTTAGAAAGAGAAATCAAGTTACTTTTATGTTTCCCTAAATACAATAACTTCTTTTATAAAGTCTACTTCATTCTGCCAGTGTTTTTGACTCACACACACACACACACACACACACACACACACACACACACACACACACCCCTACCTATATATCTCTTGATAGTTACAAAAAAATTATCAAAGGCTTATAAAACCAATTATACAGGGCTATAAAGGTGTCTCAATGGTAGAGTGCTTACTTTGCATGCATGAGGTGCTGGATTCAATTTCTCAGCACCACATAAGTAGAAAAAGCCCGAAGTGGCGCTATGGCTCAAGTGGTAGAGTGCTAGCTTTTAGCTGAAGAGCTCAAGGACAGCACCGAGGCCCAGAGTTCAAGCCCCACAACTGACAAAACAAAACAAAACAACCCCCCCCCCCAAAAAAAAAACCCAAACAAATTATACATATCTTCAAGACATTAGAACATTTTGGGAAAAATTTTCTGAAGAGTTGAGAATTTAGCTGGGCACCAGTGGCTCACACCTGTAATCCTAGCTACTCAGGAGTCTGAGATCTGAGGACTGCCATTCAAAGCCAGCCCTGGCAGGACTCTTATCTCTAAATTAACCACCAGAAAACTGGAAGTGGCGCTGTGGCTCAAGTGGTAGAGTGTTAGCCTTGAGCTGAAGAGCTCAAGGACATTGCCCAGGTCAAGTTCAAGTCCCACCAAAAAAAAAAAAAAAAAGAGTTGAGAATTTAAAAATGTCCCATTGAATGATGCTATTCAGATTCATATTTTCATGAGGACATATTTCTCAGTGTACCAAGAAAAACTTATCAATCAGCTACAATGGCCATTTTTCATTTTCAAGTCATTTTTAGGAATGATTTATGCTAAGTAAAATAATAGTAAAAAATAACTTTCTTATTTTTATTTAATGGCCTTTTCTGCTTATGTGGCACTGAGGAATCGAACCCAGGGCCTCATGCATGCAAGGCAAGCACTCTACCACTGAGCCACCTTCCCCAAAAGTTATAAGACAACTTTTTAAAAATAAAAACATACTAATCCCTTTTTGTTTTACATTTTCATGATTTTGATGACCTACATACAGGAAATAGGCAGCATCCTTTGAATAGAACTACTTGTTTATAATATGTTGTGCATGAACCTGGAACACGACCATCTTGTAAGTAGTTTATCATTTCTGATTACTGTTCTTATACTTGCATCATTGAAAAGCAACAATGATAATTTCAAGCATACATCTTTGACATTGTCAAAATTCTGTATTTCAGAAAAATTTGGCTTATACTTCTGTTGAAGAGAAAATGACCTCCACAATGTCCATCTCTGCCCCTTTAGCCCAATGTGGCTCCTACGCTGTGATTCTATTGTCTCATCTACCAAGTGTTGGGATTCTATGCATGTTCTACCACACCTGGCTATGACCTTTTGTTTTCAGGTGAATAATGGCAAAATCTTTTCAATTTTACATTTATAAATTCCAACTCAAATGGGCAATCCAATGAATATTTTCACCTTTACAAAATCTGTATTTATATTTCACCATCTATATAATTTCATTTATCTGTAGCTCTTTAGACATACTTGCTTTAAGTACTTTTCCCACTTATAGTTTCAAGTAAATACTGGATCATAAGTATTGAAATATGAGTCATATGTTCCCTTTTATAAAATGCAATATTAGGTTCTTTTGGTATGATACTACACATATTGTATGATATAGCAAATAGAGCTAACATTTAATATCATCCTTCTAAGCAATTTCACTATTCTTGCATATCATTTTAGGTTTTGGAAAGGTATTTAGGAACATTTGATAAGTAATGATGAAATAACTCATAGAGGGCTGGGAAGGTGGCTCAGTGGTAGAGCGCTTGCCTTGCATGCATGAGGCCCTGGGTTCGATTCCCCAGCACCACATGAGCAAAAAGAAAAAAAGCCAGAAGTGGTGCTGTGGCTCAAGTGGTAGAGCGCTAGCCTTGAGCTGAAGAGCTGAGGGACAGCACCCAGGCCCAGAGTTCAGGCCCCACAACTGGATCCCCCCCCCAAAAAAAAAATTCATAGAAAAAATAATCTCTAAGTCCAAATAGTGTCTTATATCAATGAACCTATAAAGTAATACAACATAATGAGTTATATTTAACTTTTTTTTAAAGTATATTTTCTTTTTGGAAAACCTAAGAATAAAAATTACAAAATTCCAAACCTCAGAACTGTAACTCCTCAAAAATAAAATCATCAATTGAAATTAGATCCAATAATACATGATGCTTATTTAGTAAGTATAGTAACAGAAAGCATCAAATAGCTTTGAGAAAAGCTTATTCAGTATAATTTAAACTTACTTGACAGGAAAATCAACTAAAGTATCTAATTTGTCTCTCATGTATCGACTATAAGAAAATCGCTTGAGATGTACCACAAGTACTGGAGGCAGTGACCATAAATCCAATTTTTTTGTGGCTTGCTGATGTTCTTTACAATTTGGACAATACCTAAAGACAAGAATAAATATTTAATGATTGATTGAGGTACAAACAAATAACAATTTCCATTAGTGAAACAACAAATCAAAATATGTGTGAGAAGTTCTACAATTTTTTTCACTGAGTATTATATACCTAATATTATGCCAGCAAAAAAATTCCGATTAATTTTATCTTCAAAACTTTTTTTAACCATTATAATTTAACATATAAAAAAATCAAAGAAATGGAAAAAGATTATTAATGGTTTAGTACAATAAAAAAAGACATGGATATATCAAATGTGTGCTGAGATAGAGGCATTAGAAAATCTCAAAACTTCTAGTTCTAATACAATTATACAACAAAATGCATTACTAATCTTCCTAAAAAATTTATCACAAAATAGTGTCATGGCTAAGAATTACTTGATAAGAAATTATTAATTATTGAGATGAAAGCTTACCACTGTAATAATACTTTTGCATATATTCCCATCCCTACTATAGACTTTATAACAAAAGGAAATGCTTATTACTTAAAATGCTTAAGAGAATTTATTAGCCACCTTTTCAACGTGATATAGCCCAGAATGTTTAAAAAAAATGAGAAATATTTAACTTTGTCACTTACCAGGGATCTTCAGCACCTAGCTTTTCTTTTGTTGTAAAAAGCTCAATGCAATCTTTTAACTTCACAAAAGGCTTTTTAGGAGGTTTATATTCCACACTTTCATGTTTTTCAAAATCCTAAAGAGAAGTATTTCTTGAGTTAAGAGAACAAATGAAACAAATGCTTACTATGAATAATAATGAAAACTCCTAAATTTTTAAAAAAGAATCACAAAGTTTATTTCTGCTGAGCTTTATATCATACTTCTTAATATTTCCTGAATAAAACTATGTGACGATTAAAACAGGTAAGTAGGAAACCATATTCAAACCTAACTCTCTACCTTAAAACCCAGAAAGATTCATGACTTACTTTTTTAAACTGGAAAAATAAATAAATTTGATGGAAACAAAGGAGTATGATAAAAGAGTATGATTAATTCTAATAATCAAAAGAAAGTAAATCAGGAGGAGGTAAAAAAAGTAGTGAATGATAACTTACCTCAGCAGCATTTTCATCAAAGTATCTTTTTTTCAAATCAGGATCCCAATCCAAGGCAAGAAAAGATCTTTCTAAGGTAGAAATGCATTTTTTTCTTTTAAAATGTATACATTTTAGGGTATACATTTATTTACAATCAATATATTTATGTGTCAGCAAATATAGCAGTAAAAGTAGCTATATTTATTTGCACTAGGTGATTTGGGCCAATGAAATAATTCAAGAATTCACCACCACAACAAAAAGATACAAAGAATCTTAGGACAGGATGCTCAGCTCCACTGGTAGTGTGCCAGCCAGAAGCGTAAAAATCTAAGAGCTAATGAGGCCTTTGACAGCCAGGCCCTGTACTATGGTGGAGAAGCTGGGGATCCCCACTGAGGTGAACCCCTTGGGGGCACCGTGGCCCTAGGCCGCCCCCTGGGCTGCACGTGGGTACGCCAGGTGGTCCCGCTGCAAGCTGAAATGCCGTGGAAACAGGGCCTACAGTGTGGTGTCCATGTGCATCGGGACCAGCATGGGTGCCGCTGCTGTCTTCGAATACCCTGGAAACTGAGGCCCTGCTGGCGTTCGTGAACTCCCTGTCCTTTGTGGACTACGGGACTGCAGACATGATCCAGGAGCCTGAGCCCTCCCTCGCCAGGTGGGGTTTGGGGGCATCTCAGCACATCTAATTCAGAAAATCTGAAGGCAGCTTGCACGGCCCTCAAGAGGTGAGCATAGGGTGGTCCTCACCAGACCTTTTCATCGGACACAAGTTGGTGTGGGCCTGTGCCTGGGCTGGCATGTAATTGTGGGGACAGTGGGCTCTGGATGTGGGCTGCCCTGGGTGGAAAAAATGTGCTCCATCACTTTGAAAAAAAAAAAAAAAAAAAGCTAAGAGCTCAAGACCCTAAGTACAAGCTACAGGAATATGAAAGCTTAGTGATAAATTCAGCCTTACTTTATTAAACATTGACACTTAGGCATTAAGGCCTTTCATTTAAACTCTCAGATAAATAAATGGCATTTTTCACAATAGGGCTGAATTTCATTAATTTTACCCAATAAACAAGACAACACTTCACAGTGCTGTAATTAGTCAGACAATTTTTCACAAATACTTACCATCTAGCCTAAGCTGCCTATCATCAAATCTTATATGCCTGGTATCATCCTTGATGTAACTGATATCAGTATTGCCTAAGTTGTTGAACTGGAATGTAAACAATCGCTTTTTGTGTCCCGTGAATTGACCTTTGCAAGTATCTTCAGTACACAATCCATTTTCAGAATCATTATCTCCTCCTACTGAGTCTTCAGACTGACTGTTTTCATTCTCTGAGGGAAGTTCTTGATCTTGGCTGGATTCATCATCTGGTTCATCTGTTTCCATTTCACCTAATTTTAGATATTAGACATCTCTGAATAAACTCAGTGAGGTATATACATATAGTTTCTCAAGACCCAACATATCTTTAATATTGAAGTGAGAAAATTTCAGGAAAATCTTACTTGGTGAGCCTTCTTCATGTATGCCATTTGGGCCATTTCCATTAATATTTTGGTCCTTACAGCAATGCAGGGATCCTTCAGTTTCTTCAGTTTCAGTAGATATTTTGACATACCGGCTTATATAAAAATAGAAAACAAGTTCAGTTATACAAAGCCTAAAATTAACACGTGTTCTTTAGTGGATTCAAAAGATCATAATTACATTTTACAAAAGATCATAATTACAATTTACTATTTATTTTTTGGTGGGTCATGGGGTGTGAATTCTGGTTCTGGGCGCTGTCCCTCAGCTCTTCAGCTCAAGGCTAGTGCTCTACCACTTGAGCCACAGAGCCACTTCTGGCTTTTTTTGCTTATGTGGTGCTGAGGAATTGAACCCAGGGCCTAATGCATGCAAAGTAAGCACTCTACCACTGAGCTACCTTCCCAGCCCCTTTGTTTTTGTCTTTTTTTTTTTTTTCCTTTTTTTTTTGGGGGGGGGGGGGGAGGAGGGGGCTTGGGCGCTATCCCTGCATTCTTTTGCTCAAGACAAGTGCTCTACCACTTGAGCCACAGTGCCACTTCCTGTATTTTGTCTTTTTAATCAGTTATTTCTTTTTGTTGTTGTTGGCCATGGGGCTTGAACTCAGGGCCTGGGCACTGTCCTGAGCTCTTTTGCTCAAAGCTAGTGCTTTACCAACTTGAACCAGAGCTCCATTTCCAGTGTTTGAGCAGTTAACTGGTGCTAAGAGTCTCACGGGGACTTTTCTGTCTAGGCTGGCTTAGAATCTCAATCCTTAGATCTCAAAATGCTAGGTAGTTAGGATTATGCATGAGGCACTGGTGCCCAGCCAGAATTAGTTACTTCTAAGGTTTTATTCTTTTATAAGGTTAGAAATGTGTACCAAATAAGTTTCAACTTTAAAAGATCATCATTTAGATGATATTGTTAATAACACTGTTGACATAATGTGGTGTGTGTGTGTGTGATTACTGGAGTTTGACCTCAGGGCCTCGAGTAGTTAGGCAGGTGCTCTACTTACTTGCACCATGCCTATAGCCCTTAATACTTTTTAGTTATTTTTAGGTAGGATGTCAAGTTCTTTGGGCTAGGCTAGATTGCCCTCCTACTTATATCTCCTCATAGTTGGATGATAGGTGCACATCACCATATTCAGCCTTTTTTTTTGAGATAGGATCTTGCTTTTTGTCTGGACTGATCTTGACAGTGTTCCTGAAGATCTCTGTTAGGTATTATAGGTGTGAGTTACTATGCCTGGCCCAATAATGTGATCTTTATGCAGGGATCAGGAAACTATAATAGCTAAGTACGAGAAAAAAAAAATACTAAATATGTCAAGTACCAAGGATTAAAAAAAGAGTGACCAAAATGCATTTGCAATCACTTTATAATTCAAATCAAGGCTTTTAGGAAGGCCATTAAAAAAAAAAATGGGCATCTTACTATCAAATTGTGTACGTTCAATAGTTAAATAAGACTATTAAAGATAAAATCTGACATCTTATGATTTCAGGATATATATTAGAGTTATAAATTCTTATTTCAAATATAAATTTTTGGTACTGGGTTAAGACTTTATGCTTCCTGGGTTTGAAGCTTTGTTTTATATCATCAAGAAAGTAAATGAGATGTAATCTGATTTTTAACATTATTACCTCTCTAAACAAAGTAGAAATAATATAGACATCACATTTATCTATCTACTTTATATTTTATTCTTTTTAAACATTTTTTATTCTTTTTTTTCCTCTGTGGAATTGTCTAGCACTTACCACATTCTCAAAAGCAGGAGATTATAAAGTTTATCTTCAGTATTGTTTCGTGGTACAGCCATAAGAAAAGGTTGGCCAAAAAGTGAAGAACCAGTATGATGGGTATAACTTGAGTGTCTGAATTTTTCTCTTAGGCAAACAGGAATAACCACATGTTCAGTATCTTCTGTCCTATTGATGTTAATTTCAAAGCTAGAAAAACAATACTGGCCATTAATTCTTTTTTCTTTTCATTTTTTTAAGAATATTTTGCAAACCAATTTTATACTTACACATAAATATCATCCCGTTCCATGATACTACTAAGATTTTCATCCATCGCAAATATCCTGTGAAATCTATGATTGTATATATCAGTAACTATCATCTAAAAGGAAATAAATTTCTATTAAGTTGGTTTTACAACACTGAAAAACAAAATATCAACTTACATAATTTAACCTTAGAAACATCTTACCTTATCTGATGGTACTCCTGACAAAACAGATAATGCCGTACAAAGATCTAGTATATTTCCAATTTTAGGGACAACCACTTTGTACTAAAAAAAACAAAACAAAAACAAAAAACCAAACAAACCAACAAACAAAATATAATTAAGTTAGTACCTTGGAAAAAACAGATGAGACTACCTCACGGCAGCTTCATTTGGCATTTGGCTCAGTGTTTTTAACCCCATCTTGCCATCATCCTGGGTAAAAATGTTCATATGGATATGTCCTAGACTATTGCTCCTTAGCTCTTCAAGTCAAACGCCTACACCTGGCATCCAAGTGTAATCAACTTCCTGGAGCTGTCATCACCAGAAACAGCTTCAGTTCTGATACCTTAATCTCTAACAGATTACAAAGTGACCAATTTATTTTTTTTACTTTTTCTAGAGACTTCTTCTTATCTGTTCTGAATTTGCATAAAGATGTCTAGTCCTAATGACTTTCCGTTTTCTCCCTTAGGGTCTCATGTCTTTCCCTCCAGACTGCATGTTCTTCATCACTTCAGCTATTCCACTGGAAAAGCTTTATTCTCTGTTACTCTGTCCTACTGTTGCTGAGTTTCTTAGAGCTGTTCAGACGTACTGGAAAAAAATCTCTCATCATTAAAAGGCCAGTGTGCTATAAATCCATAACTCCCAATCTCAAGTGATTCTCTACCACTGCCCCCAAATAATTCTGTTATCATTTATTTGCTTATTTTCTCAATAACTTAAAAAAAAAATCTAACATTCATTAAGTTTCTTATGTCACCATTTCTTTCACTAACAAAGCACCTATTTTTTGCCAAGGACACAGAAGCTGCAAATTGGGGGGGGGGGGGGGGGGGAAATCTCCTACTTTCTGTCCTCTTACAAACTTATTTGAATAAAAATATATAAATATATACTTACATATAATATATAATACATTATATTATGTATATATAGGTTTCTCTCTTTTTGCCTTGTCTCTTGCAACACATGGAAAGACAGGTATTTTATTCCCCTTTTAAGCTAACTCTGCATCTATTTCCTGAATCTTATCTAACTTTGCTTTTCTGAGACCTAAACCAGCCATCATCCCTTTTTTTTCTGTTTTGACTTTCCCCCTGTCTCTCTCTTTCCCTTTGTGGTTACCAGAGTTTGAACTCGGGTCTCTGCTTAGCTTTCACAGCTGATACTCTACCACTTGAGCTATGTCTCCAGCCCAGCTTCCAGTCTTGACTTTTCTTCCTAGCCTAGTCTCAGCCTCCCAAGTAGCTAGGATTATAGGTACCTGGCTATGTTGCTTCTATTGTGTAAACATTATGATATATTTTTATCAAAAAGCAAATCTAAACTAAAACTAATACCTCACGGTTTTCCATGTAATAATTTCCTCTTCAATCATTTTCCTATCTTCTCTGCTTTATAAATAACTTTGTCTACAATATTTAAATCAATTACCATAACTTTCTTACCTACCATTCCCTTCTCAGTCCATGTCTGGCTTTTTTCTTCACCTATCTTCTAGGTTTCCCAAAATATTATACCGTCCTTATTTTACCTATCTTTCTGTACCATGATTCTCATTACTCATTCCATCCTTTAAAACTTCCTAGAACACTACTACTTCTTTTTCTCCTGCTGTGACAATACTTTCTGCTTCAAGCTCTTCTCTAGTGTTTATTAATTCTACACTCACTTCTTATACTGGGTGATAGTGTAACTTGACTTGCTTTTGGCCAGTCTTAGACTGATGCTCTAGGTAGAATTATTAATAATGGCCCCTTTTGTTTTCAAGAGAGTTCTAGTTTAAATGCTAAATCTTTTTTTTTGTTTTTTTGGTCGGTCATGGGGCTTGAACACTGGACCTGAGCACTGTTCCTGAGCTCTTCAGCTCAAGGCTAGTGTTCTGTCACTTTAAGCCACAGCACTACTTCTGGTTTTCTGGTGGTTAATTGGTGGTAAAAATCTCACAGACTTTCCTGCCTGGGCTGGCTTTGAACCGAGATCCTCAGATCTCAGCCTCCTGAGTAGCTAGGATCACAGGCATGAGCTTAGATGCTAAATCTTAAGAGTCACCTCATATGATCTCATCTTTCTAAAACCTATCATCTTCATAGAGCTCACTGCTCAATTTAAATCTCAAACACAATCTGCCCTTCAGTCTAAATATATAAACTCACTGAATATTGGATTATCTTCACCTAAATTCTGTATTTCAAAGTCAACATATATAAAATTAAACACAAGACTAGATCATGCTAAGCTATCATTCTCAATACTGAAACAAACTTCTTTTCACATCTGTTCTTAGGGAAAACCATTAAAAGAAACAGCATATTATCTCTTCAATTTTTCAGTCTAGTATATCTGACATCATCTTTGAATATACTTCCACATTTTCAATGAGTTCTTCATCAAACTGCCAACCTGACTCTAATCATTACCCCTCCCCTCCATGTTAGATGGGGATTGGACCCAGGGCTTCATGCATACTAGGCCAAATGCTCTACCACTAAAATACCTACCGCTCCTAAAAGTACTTCTGTGTACCTGCTCCTGCTGTTTGTCATCTTAACATTGCAAAAGTTTCTTAGATGGTCTAATTACTTTGGATTTAAACCATTTTTATTTGTGTTCTAGGCAGAATCTTCTTTTTCATATACAAATCTAGCTAAATAATCTCTATACTTTTAACAACCTTTAGTGATTCTTCTTAACCTCAATGAAGTCTGAACTTCCTATCACTGTATCAAGGATCTATATGATTCTAGCTCTTGCTTATCCTATTAACAATTTGTAGATTTCAGAAGTAGGCCATGTCTGCCAGGTATTGGTAGCTCATGCTTAGCTATTCAGGAGGCTAAAACCTGGAGCACTGCAATTCAAAGCCAGTTTGGGCAGAAAAGGCCCCACTTCCAATTAACCAGCCTTAAAAGCTGGACTGGAGGTATGTATCAGTTCGTAGAGCATCAGTCAAGAGCAAGCAAGCTACACAAGGCACTGAGCTCAAGACCTATTACCTGGAAGTTGGGGGGGGCAAGAGGGAATGAACTTTATAGATGGCATTTTCTTGGCTTATGATGCTTTCATTTCCAGCTTTCACCTGATTATAATCAGGAATCATAGCAGGCATTAATGCCAGTTTAGTAGATTACTCTGCCTGTGTATTGTAGTACCCTACCATGGTACTTTTATCACAACAACAAACTTCTTGAGAATAAGGAGTAGAAACACGTTCTTATTTTTGTGGTATTGAGGTGATTTCAGGGCCTAGAACTTGATAGATATGTGCTCTACCATGAGCCCTATCTCCAGCTCTTGACAACTAATCATTTATAACAAAGACAAATATTCATTTGTTTTAAATAAGAATAAAAAATGCAAAGAAAATAGTATTACTGACCTGCATAGGTTTAGTAAGGGGGTCCATTCTAACTAAATACACTTCCAAGGTCCGTTCTTTTTTCATGGGCAATGGAAGCGTCAAATAACAAAAAGGATCAAATGTTACTGAAATCTTCGCACATTCTGGACAAACTAAAGTTGACTTAAAAAGGCCATGAAATATGTCCACAATGATAGAATCATTTCTTTTTAAATGGTTTTCCCAGGCTTCTTCAGCAACCACCTATAAGGAAAATAAGACAACAATTACAAAGAAGTATTAGAGAATTTTAACAATGGTAACAATAGTATCATGAAATATACCTTATCTGGCCTTCCATCAGCATCTTTTAACTGGATATATGGTTTTTTCCTAATTCTATTTAAATCTTCATGTAGTCCGTCCAATAGGAAAGCTAATAGTTCTTGACAGTCTTGCTGCTGATATCCAGAGAACTGAGGTGCAAAACGTCCTACTTGCGTCTGTAAGAAAAGCAAAACTATAAAATCAGAGACACGGTGTCTTAAGTAGTATATACTTGATCCTTCATTGTCCTGGACTGTACATTTGAGAATTTGCCTCCTTACTAAGGTCTATTTGTAAGCTTCAAATGAAATTTTGATATTTTTACAGTCATTTGTAGATATTCTGAGTGGCAAAAAATTGAGTCATCTGATGTGCATATTCCCATCTGAGTAACAAGGCGACACTGCTGTTTCAGCTGTTAAACTACAAAAAACAAATGGCTTTTTTTTTTTTTTTGGTCGGTCTTGGGGGCTGAACTCGGCCTGGGCACTGTGCCTCAGCTCTTCAGCTCAAGGCTATAGTGCCATACCACTTGAGCCACGGCGTCACTTCTGGCTTCTTTCTGCTTATGCGGTGCTGAGGAATTGAACCCAGGGCCTCATGCACGTGAGGCAAGCATTCTACCACAGGCCAACTTCCCAGCCCAACAAGTGGCTTTTATGATTTATTTAGTACTATTCTTTTTTTTTTCCTCCACACATTTTTTTTCTGTTTTAGGTTGATTATTTCGGTATTCAAAATAGCCCCCCCCCACATAGTGTTCAAGTGACTACTTTAAATATACTTCACATGGGAAAGTTAGATCAAGCACGAGTCACAATGCTGCTAGCTGTGAATTCAGTGTTAATGAATGTAAAATACATATGAAGTAAAGGATCTCTGAACAGAAAAACACATGAAGTTATACATTGGCTAGATGATGAAAATGTGACCAAAGGCTTGGTAGGATCAAACCTTGTATTTTCCTTAGGTGCAACTGTTCAGTATTTTAAAAATTTTAAGGAATAAAACTATTGTGAACAATAAAAACTGACTATATAAGCCATGTACTGATGGCTCACACCTGTAACCCTAGCTATTCAGAAAGCTGAGATCTGAGGATCACCATTCAAAACCAGCCAGGACAGGAAAGTCCATGACACTCTTATTTCCAATTAACCACCAGAAAAAACTGAAGTAGTGCTGTGGTTTAAAGTGGTAGAGCACTAGCTTTTAGCAAAATATCCCAGGGACAGTGCCTAGGCCCTGAGTCTAAGCCCTATGACTGACAAAAATATTAACAAACCCCACAAAAGACACTAATTATATACAAAATATAAACAGATGTTTTCTTTTGTTTTGTATGCCCAATAAGCATTCAGTGGATCATAACTGGGACAAAATAGATCAACACACAGAATTCTTAAACTACAGCTGGTGCAGTGGCACACGACTATAGTTCTAGCATTTGGGATGCTAGAAGGGCAGGAATTGCTTGGACCTAAGAGTTTGAGACCAGACTGTGTAACAAAACAAGATCCCTCTCAAACACAACTACACTGATAGATATTTATTATCTATAAATAAAATGTGTTAATCAATACTTGGGTTTAGTATATTTCCTTCTCATTATTTGCTGCTTCCTTGTTTTTCAACTTACTTTCTTTTTTTTTGCATGTGATAAACAGAGTTTGAACTCAGCTTTGTACTTACTAGCCAGGCACACTACCAACTGAGCCACATACCCAACCCTTTTTGTTTTAGTTATTATTTTTTTTTGTCAGTTGTAGGGCTTGAACTCTGGGCCTGGGCCCTGTCCCTGCACTCTTCAGCTCAAGGCAAGCCTTCTACCGCTTGAGCCACAGTGCCACTCCGGTTTTCTGGTGGTTTATTGGAGATAAGAGTCTCATGGATGATCCTGGCTGGGCTGGCTTTGAAACCGTGATCCTCAAATCTCAGCCTCATGAGTAGCTAGGATTACAGGTGTTTTAGTTAATTTAAGGTAGGGTCTCATGTTTTTTGTTTTGTTTTTCTCCAGAGATTGACCTGGACCATTATCCTCCCTATTTATAGCACATCACATAGCTGGGATGACAGTTATGTGCAGTAGCTTAATGAGTGAGATGGGGACTTGCTTTTTGTCCAGGCTGGCCTATAACTATCTCTGCCTTCCAAGTAGCTGGGATTACATGTATGAACCACTGTAACTGGCCTCCAACCTTCTTTATTCTTAGCTCTATGTCTTCCTATTGTCTCCTCTTGAAAAAGTCCAGCAAGTAGAAAATAAAGACAGGTTCTCTTTTACTATATTACTATATATATTATATTATCACACACATATACATAATTACATATCTAAAAGCATTATGAAATAAGATGTAAAAATGTTGACTTGATAAATGAAGAGAATATTGTGAAAATATTGTACACTTGAGACTTAAAATTCAGGTACACTTTGCTCTGGATCACTAGAAACAAACCACCAAACTCCCATTGTGTATACAAACAGGATAAATCTCAGAGATAACATATTCATATATGTTCGCTCTAGTCATTGTCTCACCAAGTATTTTTTAAATAATATTGAAGTGCAATTATATAAATCACAGTGAAGTGCTGCATATTTATGCAAAATTTAAAGGGATAAAAATCTAGCAAAAATAATTAGAGATCAGGGTTGAGAGATGGGTAAGTTAAGAATGAAAAAGAAAGCAAATGCAGAGGTACTTTGATTTATCGGTTGCTTTTTATTTTGCAAGAACTAGTATACTGATAACAAAATGTTGCATAGTAGATGGACTAAATGAAAGCCAATTCCTTATTTAAGTTTAAAATTTTCAAATTAGTCAATGATACCATAAGGAAAACTCTAACATTATAAAGCTATACTTAATTCTTAATTTGAATGATTAAATTATTTTGGGTTTTGTTCTATGAAGCAACTAATTCACAAATATGGATAAACTTACAAGCTTAAGAATTATATTGACAATACATTTAATTATTATTCAGTAGTTGTTTTGCAAACGCTTCATTTCAATAAATTTTAAAAGTTGCAAGGACTACCAAAATATATTTTGTTCTTAGACTTCTATGGTATGCCCAAGTTTAGATTTTTTACATTTGTATAAAACATACAGGCAGAGATGAGGCAGTTTTGTCTTTTCCCATTTGCTTCCCTTTGCCCCATATCCTATACAACATTTTTGTAACTTGATCACCTATGTTAATCCCCTGCCCTGAATTTTTAATACCACAGAATGTGCTATATTTTTATGTAATATATTCTTTTGGAGGACCACAAACCATATAAAACTAGCTTTCATCCCTTCTATCTAAGAATGAACTTTCATCCTTTGAGAATGATATCTCCCTCATTGAGAATTCATTAACCACACTAACCTTAAATGCTCTTGGAGTGACGTAGCTAAACTTTCCAGACCACATTTGCTTGATCAGTTCAGCATATGATTTAGCTATTTCACCTCTCATTCCTAAGGGATTGTCAAAATTCAGTTCTTCTTGATACTTATCATTGAGGAAATATTCAGTAAGTGGAGGTGTGTTGCTCAAACACTGCAAAAAATAAAATATATTCCTTAAAACATGTTATGAGAGAAACAAGTTGATCAGTCATAATATATAAAAATATATAAATGGTCTATTATAATAAGTATCTAGTCAAACACTCAATTGATGCAATTAGCTAATCACGTCCTATATTTGCAATGTTACTTACAAGAAGTAAAAAGCTGCTATTTGTACTAAAAAATACGAATATGCATACAAACTGTCTGTTAACTGTGAGAGAAATTTATTTTCTCTTTTTAGCTGACTGCTAGAAATTATGGATTATCTGTATGCAGGCATCTGTAAATTAACCTGAGTAGGTAAAAACTGAAATACAGTGCAACAACTTAACTTGAAATAGATGCAATTAGCTTTTGCTATGCATGGACTCAACTGCAGATAGAAAAATATTTGGAAAAAAACTGTTGTCTGCATTGATATATATTCTTAAAGGTAAAAATTATTATTAAAATAGTAACAAATGCTTTAGCTTTTTCTCTTCATGGAATGTTAAAATACACGGATACACAAAGATGACAGTATTACTGCTTCCAGCGTCAATTCCTTATAATAACCTTCCTTTTGGTAATCCAGCTTTAGAATGAGATAGTACAGACTAGCTGAGCCCGAGAAAACTTTAGTAACATGAACTGTGTTGTCTTTTACTTTTTCCAGCTCTTAACTTATGGGAAAAATAAAAACAACAAATATATCAGTACTCCAAGAAAGATCTTTTCCATTCTGAATCAGTAATTTAATATTTAAAATAAAATACATGGTAGTATAGTGTATCCATAATATTTTATTTCAGGATGGAATATTTTAAGTCAATGATACTATATAATTTTATTTTGATATGTACCAATACTATTTTATTAATAAAAAGCCTAGAATATATAATGTCTGACAAAAAGTCATATGGGTAACCACTCTTACTATGCAGAAGATACCTGCCTTGGAGTCAAGTGACAAAGTAATAGAATGAGAAGCAAGCTGCTTGCATTTAACATATTAAAAACCCACTCTTATGCGATCTTGGAAAGTAAAGCTATGTTGAAGCTTGCTTTCCACTGCTTAAACAGATTTATAGTGATAAAAAGTTCAGCCCTTAGTGACCAAAACAAAAACAAAAACATGGGTTATCTTAGATATAAAATTTGTCTATAAGTCATGTCATTTAGATAAAATTCCAGAACAAGCATATTTCTTAATTTTTCAACTAAATTATGATGCTTTATTTTGTGGTTTCAATTACAAATCAACTTAGGTTTATTAATCAATTATAATATCTACTTAGCAGTTTTTCTATAATGCTTTCTAAACTGGTAGTCTGGCTGCTACTCTGAAGATGATACAGTGTTTTCCCTGTATCATGAAATTTGTTACTAAGCAATTCTTATAAAGTTTAAAATGTTTAGGGTTATCCATACAAGCCTTGAGTCTTTTAATATATGGTTCCCAATATAAAAACAACCTATGTGAAGCAAAAGAGGGGAAAAGCAAAAGAGGGGAAAGATTGTTCTTTACCTTTCTTTTTCATTTTATACTCTTACATTCATCTTATAATCTTACATTCCTTTTTGTTTTTAAATTTCTTTTTTGTTGTTGTTGTTGTTGGTTGTAGGACTTCTGGGCTTGGGCGCTATCCCTTAGCTCTTCAGCTCAAGGCTAGTGCTCTACCATTTGAGCCAGAGTGTCACTTCCAGTGTTTTCAGTGGTTTATTGGAGATAGAGTTTCATGGACATTCCTGCCTGGGCTGGCTTTGAACAGCAACCTTCAGATCTCAGCCTCTTGATTAGCTAGGATTATAGGCAAAAACCACTGGCACCCAGCTTTACATTCCTTTTGAATCTCATTTTTTCTTGCTTTTTTAAAAAAATATATGTCATTTTAATTATAAACCCAGCACTTGAGGATAGGAAATGCAGTTAAAATATACGTTGGTTACACAGAGTAGAAACACCATCACCAGTGTCATCTGACTTAGCGTGAATAGTATTGATTAAGCAGAAAGTCAGGAAACAATTTCTATCCATTAGTCCTCAAATCTTTATGTCTGATCAGCTCAGAGTTCTAACTAAAAATATAACATTCTACTACAGTCTATTAACATAGTTACACAAAGACTAATTTATAGCTCTACCAAAATATCTCAAAGAATCAAGCTGTGCAATTATGAATAAGTTTTGAGCTTCATTCACACTTATTTACTTTTTTTTTTTTGTTCAGCTGTGGGGTTTGAACTCTGGACCTGGGTGTTGACACTGACCTGGAGCTCTTTAGCTCAAGGTGGGCACTCTACCACTTGAGCCACAGTGCCAGTTCCGGTTCTCTGGTGGTTAATTGGAGATAAGAGTCTCACAAACTTTCCTGCTCTGGCTGGCTCTGAACCTCTGAACCGTGATCCTCAGATCTCAGCCTCCTGAGTAGCTAAGATTACAGGCGTGAGCCACTAGTGCCCTGCCACACTTAAATATTCAAATACATCCTTATCTTGCAAAGTGCTTCCAAGTACAAATGGAAAAAATGTTAGTTTTCCAACAGCAACCAGAGATCTTTCAAAATGTACATCTGATCATGTTACTTCCTTGTTGTACCAGGGGTGAGAACCTTTTACAGCAGGGGTATTTGGATATTTATAACATATTTATAGGCTATACCAAAACTATCAACACAGGCAGACAGCAGCATCCAGCTGACATGGGAAATGTTCCCCCCATACTTGTCAACCCTTTAATACTTCCCTTGTTACCAGATTAGAATGCCAAATCCTTACATGGATCTGATTTTGTTTATATCTCATCCTTTGTTCTTTTTACTTTCCATGCATTCTCACATTCTGTAAGTTGCAACTTTCTACTCAAAATTTATCTTTTTTTTTTTTTTTTGGGGGGGGGGGGGGGGGAGTCCAGTCATGGGGCCTGAACTCTGAGCCTGGGCGCTGTCCCTCAGCTCTTCAGCTCAAGGCTAGCGCTCTACCACTTGAGTCACAGCGCCACTTCCGGCTTTTTTCTTTTTGCTTATATGGTGCTGAGGAATCAAACCCAGGGCCTCATGCATGCAAGGCAAGCGCTCTACCACTGAGCCACCTTCCCAGCCCCTCAAAATTTATCTTTGTTACCTTACTTTTCCCTAGAATCTCTTAATGTTTCCAGTTCTATATTTCTACTATGCTTACTGTTCACTTTTATCACACCATCAATTTTATAACATACTGCAACATCTAGATAGTTTGTCTTGTGAAACAGACCTCAATGAGGTCTCATATCTTTTTATATTTCCATATCATATTTCTATATATTACCATATCATTGGGCACTTAGTACGTGTACAATAAAAACTGCTTTTGCCTGTATTTATTAATGCATTTATTCTCCCAGTGTTTTACTCTTTTCTTTAAATGCTTAATAGAGTAGTAATTTTGTCAAATGAAGTATTACTAAATGAGGCAAAATACATTTGCTTGAAATGAATACTTTCAGAAGTACCTTCAAGTAGTGAAAATAAAAAATCACAAGGGTAGTATATGTTAGAAACTTTTCCATTTTCTTTCTTTGGTTTTCATTTATCTACTTATCTGGCTTTGTAGAGCCTCTGAGTTGATGTTTTAGACCAACTCTTTTTTTTTTTCTTTTTGGTTGGTTGTGGGGCTTGAACTCTGGGTCTGAGCACTGTCCCTGAGTTCTTCACCTCCAGGTGAGCATTCTATCACTTGAGTCTCAGAGCCACTTCCGGTTTTCTGATGGTTTTATTGGAGATCAGAGTCTCTTATCTCTAATTAGCCACCAGAAAACCGGAAGTGGCCCTGTGGCTCAAGTGGTAGAGCACTACTCTTGAGCTTAAGAGCTGAGGGACAGTGCCCAGGCCCAGAGTTCAAGCCCCATGAACAACAAAACAAAGAGTATCATGGACTTTCCTGCCCAGGCTGGCTTTGGATCTCGATCCTCATATCTCAGCCTCCTGAGTAGCTAGGATTATAGGCATGAACCACCAGTGCCTAGCCTAGACCACTCTTAGCATCCTTTTTCTTTTTTTCTTTTTTCTTTTTCTTTTTTTTTTAAAGGAATTGGCATTTGTACTAAGGGACTTGCACTCTACTGCATAAAACACACCATTACACCTATTTATTTCAGACAGACAGATGTTGTATTTGATCCATTTACCTCTGCCTCTGGCACAGCAGAGATGACAGGCATGTATTATGATACCTAGCTCTGTGTGTGTGTGTACACACGCGCGCGGGTGAGTGCATGTGCGTGGGTGCGTGCATGCATGTGCTGGTAATGAGAGAGACTTGAGCTCAGGGCCTTGTGCTCTTTCTTGGCTTTTTTTGCCCAAGGCTGGCACTTTACTACTTGAGACACATTTCCACTTCCAGCTTTTTGTTGGTTAATTGGAGATAAGAGTCTCTCAGATTGGTCTACCTAGGCTGGCTTCCAACTTCAAACCTCAATTCTCAGATCTCAGTCTCCTGAGTAGTTAGGATTATTATCTCTATACCAGCTTTTTTGTATGTGTACTGGTCCTGGGCCTTGAACCCAGGTCCTGGATCCCTCAGCTTTTTAGCTCAAGGCTGGGGTTTTACCACTGAGTCACAGCTCCACTTCTGGCTTTCTTTTCTTGGTTGTTAATTGGAAATAAGAATCTCCCTCTTTCCTGTCTGGTATGGCTTTGAACCTGAACCTCTATCCTCAGATTTAAGAGTAGTTAGGATTACAGGCATGAGCCATCAGTGCCCAGCAGGTGGCTTACTTTTTTGTGACTGGGTTTTGCTGGCTTTTCTTCAAACTTCTTTTCCTAGGCTGGCCTCCAACCATAATTCTGCCCTCTTTGCCTCTTGTCTACCTACGATTACAATAGTATACCAACATGTCTGGCTCCGAGCACTTATATCTATCCTGACAAATGCTAATTTGAAACAGATTATAATTCAGTATCAACTAACTAATCAATAGTTTTGATATGACTATCATCTCTGAAGGTACTTAAGTGAAAGGTATCTGGT